TAGAATTTAGATCTGCACTCCTCACTTTTAAATTCATTTAGTTCTGTTCAGTAAGAGCTAAAATCTAAATCATTTAGTTGTTTTGATAGAAAAGTTGTGAGAAGTCATATTAGGTCTGTATTGCTTCTAAATATCACCTTGAAAAATTGTCGATTCTAATTCATCTTTTTCCCAACTCTCGTGTTTTAGTGTAAGTATCCTGAATGAAGGGGAAAATATGCCATCTTTAATTTTTCACAAGTATATATGGAATGATATATTCCATATATATATCAGTGACATTATTAAAATTAAATGTAGCTGCAAGTGAAATTTAACACAAATCCAGAAAATATAACAAAATAGAATGTAAACATAAAGGTGTTAATACTGAAATATTTCTTGTCATAAAATATTGTTGCTTTTATAAAAGCCTTTGCTTTTGATAGCATAAGAATTCTCTAGGCAACTTGAGTCAGGAAAATTTTTATCTTGATTTGCAAACAATATTTCCTCCCAGACTTCTGAACAACTTATATTCACCTCATGGCCATGTCATCAATCTGTTATGTGTGAATGGACACTATTCTTTCCTGTACTTGACCAAATGTTTCATTTCCTGGAAATTAGATTACTTAAATGCAACAAACAGATGGCCAGAGCATCCTGTAGTACTTACTCTGCCATGAAATTTATTATCTGAATTCCTGAGGTAGGGCCTGGAAAGTTAACAAAAATTCTTTCTGAACGCTAGTATGCCGGATTTGATGTGCAGTTGTCAAGCCATTTTTTAATGACTGTATTTTGCCATGTATAATGCACATGTGGGTGCATTATACACATTTGGCATTTTTAGGCCAAACTTTCAGGGGGAAAATCTCTCATTTGAATTCAATTATTTATTTGTTTATTTTTATTGAGCAACTTGTTTTTTGTATTACAAAGAAATTTTAGCATTTATTTTTTAACATATTATGGTATAAGAAATTTTATGTAACAAATAATTAAAAACATGAGCGTAGATACGAGGTATTTCAGGTACTACTCATGTATGTGTACCCTTATTTTTGCCTCAAATATTTGGGCAAAAAGGTACACATTACACATGGCAAAATAAGGTAATTCAGGTACTTTGGACATTAGGAGGAAGATGTTGAATAGCTATTTATACAGAAAAGTATAGTCCTGGCTGGTGTGGTTCAGTGGATTGAGCACTGGCCTGTGAAATGAAGGGTCCCCTGTTGGATTCCCAGTCAGGGCACATGCCTGGGTTGTGGGCCAGGTCCCCAGTAGGGGGCGTGCAAGAGGCAACCACACAATGATGTTTCTCTTCCTCTCTTTCTCCTTCCTTTTCCGGCTCTCTAAAAATAAATAAATAAAATCTTTTTTAAAAAAAAGTTTACATATTTTATATTTTACATAGAAAATTTAAATTGTGAACAAGTCACATGGACTAGTGTGATTGAAGCATATCTTAGAGTTAATCTTAAGGTAAAAAGATAACGTGAATTATACATGATAATAGAGAATAATAGCTTAAATTTTTTTTCTGTTTCCAGTTTTCAATATTATCTTCTCTAGGTTAAAGAAATACTTTCTATCAGTATGGTATGAGAATTTGGAGAAATACAGTATGATTATATTCTGTTTTCTTTCTTTTTTTTATTACATGTAAAAACAAGCTTAGTCATTTGGTTTAATGCAAAAAAGTACAGATCATGCATAAGAATTTATGGTTGCCTTTTCTCAAGCACGTATAATGAAGTTTAAAAATAACAACTTGTTGTATATCAGTTATGCAGGAAAAATAGAGCTGTTGTGCTGTTGGAAAAAACTTTCAGGTACCACTCAATATATTCTTTAGCAAACCTGTCTAGCACAAGGTTTCGGTTAAAGATCAAGGGCCAACTACAAAAAATGAATGAGTTCAAACTTTTCTAAAACTTTTAAAAATAATTTGTGTATACATAGCCTGTCGTTCATTGCTTTCATTGAATATATTTTCTTTAAAGATGTATATACCTACATGGGTTCAAAGTTCTGTATCAACAGCAAATTTTTTCTAATTCTTTTCATTAAAATGCTATTAGAGAACATTTGCAGAGTCCTTCAGATTAACAGTGAACTTGGCACAACTTAGTTAACTGGGAAGAATTTTATTAATCTGCTCCATAGTCTTGTGCTAGAACAGTCTGTGAATATACCGGTCAGATAAACACATTCAGGTTCCGTTCTCTGTATAGGAGATGCTCTTCAAGTCACGTGGTAGAGTAGGGAAAAGGAAAAAAGGGATGTATTGAGTAATGAACTTTAGTACTGTTAAGAATTTGCATATTTAGAGGAATACAGGTAGAGGCATGTGAGGGTTGGCATTGTATGTACCGTATTTTGTCAGGTATAATACCCACGTTTTTGGCCCAAACTTTCAGGGAGAAATCTTTCATTTTAATTTTTAATTCAATTATTTATTTATATTTAGACACAAAACCCATTATTGTGTTCCAGGGTATTATTTTGCATACACTATCATCATTTCTTTCTAGCGTTACACTTTTAACACATTGGCATAAATAAAATGATTAAAAACATATAGCTATGGAATTAGTACTACCCATATATAATACGCATCCTTATCCCCGCACCCAAATTTGGGTAAATGCATATTATACACGGCAAAATACAGCATATCAGATAATTTAGGTAGAAGAACGTCTAGGCCATCTACTGACTCCTGTTCTCCCCCATCCTCATAGCTGAAAACAAAGTCAGCAGAAGCAGCAGGCGAGCTGTTGAGTGAGAGTGTGAGTTTGTTAATGCCACCCAGCTCTGACCAGGAGAGAGTAACAGTGCCACTTCGTCCTCTTTTGCCCCTGAGGTTGCTCTCCCTTAACCTTGATCTATTCCTTCACACTCTAGATTTTCCTGTCAACACACAAGGGGCCCCTTTGCCTTGCTGTCTATTTCTCTCATCTGCTCCTTTCCAATTTCATTGTTCCTGCTCCCCACGCAAACAGCAAGGCCATGGCAATTCAAGGAAGCCCAACTCCCTGGAAAACTGCCGAAGTGCTTAAGGTTATAGTAAACATAACAAATAGTAAGTTAAGGAGATACTCAAAAGAGGAAGGTGCACTCAGTACATCTCATAGTGAACTTATCCCAGGGGAATCGTAACTCAGGCAGCATTCTCATGTTATTCTTAAAGCTTCTGCTGTGATCATTGATTTAAAAGAGGACAGCTGAGTCACGTGGACACCCAGAGCTTGACAGTCTGTCCAGTGGGAGGGGCTCCCCTGTCAGGGAAGGATGTATAAGAAAAATAAAGTGAGACAGTCCATGCACAGGTTCAAGTGTGAGCAATATGATCACTCAGATTCCACACTGCAGGCCAGACAGACATGTAGTCATTCCTTAGAGTCTCCCACCTGAGGACCTGATGCTTTCATAATGGTCAAAGCCAAAAGGTATCTGCCCTTACTTGTAGGCAGTCAGGACAGATAAAGTAAGGATAGTGACAGAGTGAATTTTGTTAATCCCGCCCTCTCTCCACGGCTTCATCTCTGACCAGGAGAGAATAGCTCTGGAGGCCAGGTGTCTGACGTACCCAGATTTGACCAGTTAACAGTTTCCAGAACAATACTTCTATAGGTGAAAGGCCATTGGGTGCAGGTGCAGGCATCTCTTGGACCACATTCAGAAACTTGCTACTCCATGACTATATTATGTTGCGTGATTGGACACCTAGGCATCAAAATCAAAAAGCCTCATCAGATACCTGGGGCAGAGATCAAAATTGCCAAATAGTGAAAGGACACCCTGAGCATCCTGGGAGCTTCTGCCAACCATGGTGGGACTCCGCATCTGGTCTGCAGGCTCTCCTCACCAGCCTGCATCGGGAGGACAGCTGCAGGGCAGACTCACCACAGCGCCTTCTGCCGCCCAGCACCCATCTGTGAGGTCTGAATGGGGAGCCATTTCAGGTTCAAGTGGTTTGTGAAAACTCATTCTACATACAATTCTATCACTCACTGAGGTTTTCTCCCCTATGATAAAGCATGTGTTTATTTTTTCCTCTGTTTGTCTATTAGCAAAATTAAGTTTGTTCCTGTCTTTTTTCTTTAGGTAATTTTGCTCATGATTTTTTTTCTGTTTCTCATTGAAATATAAAGGGAATATATAATCGTTTTTCAGTGATCAGGACTTTTGTTGTTATTGTGTGTAGAAAATAAAGAGTAAAGGTCCAATGATCAAAGGCTTTTGTTGATAACCCGAGACCTACATTCAGACTTAAGCATCATTACAGAAACCCATCTAATGTTACAAGTAATTTTGCTTGACATATATGACCATTAACATGTCAAGCCAAAGGCAGCCTATTATTATTAGCCATCACTTCATTGTGGAGATAATACTGAGTTCTTGAGAACAATGCAGGACTATTCCTAGCATCATATCCCAGACGAAGCAGAGGCTCTAGGAATTTTTTTTCCTGTTTCCATAGTCAGCTTCACACCAACCAACCACACAGGAGCTTCCGCAGCAAAGTACTCCAGCCTCCGGCAGCAGAGCAGGTCCAGAAGGTTTTGACTAGTGCGCTCCATCAGTGCAGTCAGATGCTCCACGTCTACAAATGTCATCCTTTCCACATTAAATTCCTGCCACCTGCATGAGGTGGCCTTGCATGCATATTTAGGACAGCTTACTATTGGAGATGAGCCTAAGAAAGTATAGATTTCTCAATATGGTATTCTAATTAAAACCTAATTAGCAATTCACTGTGCTGGAACTTGGATTTTTAGCCTAGGAAAAATCATTTCACTGTGCATAGAAAGTAAAGATGTAGTTTTTGGAAGCATTAAAATTTCAAAAATATAAGGCAACACATGTGGAACTTAGAGGTGTTAAAAATCTTAAGTGTGGGTTTCTTCATAGCTTGTAACTTGAACAGTTTTGTATAATCAGTGAGTTTGCCAACCAGTATCAAAAAACTCATTTTCTTCAAGTGCTTTATTTATCTTTAATAGAACCTTCATCACCCTGGTGTTGTAAATCTGGAGTGTATGTTTGAAACGCCCGAACGAGTGTTTGTTGTTATGGAAAAACTCCATGGAGACATGCTGGAGATGATCTTGTCGAGTGAGAAGGGCAGGTTGCCAGAGCACATAACGAAGTTTTTAATTACTCAGGTAAGAAATCAATTACAGACGAGGAAAAAATAATATTTAATATCAAATGTTATCACTGTTTAACTGTGGCTTTTGAGGCTTGTTGTTTAGCCCCTACCTCCAAAGCCTAAACTACACTCAGAAAGGTCAAAGTGGCTTATTGTATTGTCTAATTTATAGCCGTGGTGTCCAGAGTCCAGTGTACTAAATGACTAATGCATTTAAGGGCCATGTATTAAGAGTACTGATGACATTTTAAAATTAACCAATGTCACCCCAATAAATTCAATAAAAATAAATACATAATTTAAAAAAATTCACCTGACTGAGTCCTGCTTCCTTGAAAATAATTCAGTATTATTGAATTTTGCGTATACCACGTAAAATGCTAGTCTTCCCATCAAAGTTTCTTTAGAAACCTGCTGTGTTGATTCTAGCTCATTTCAGTGTCTCGAGCATAAAGAAGTTTAACTGTACGTTATGAGTTCTCTCTTGGCCATTTAAATGTATGTCCCTGTGGAATACGTTTTAAAATAAACTAATAGACCAAAGTAATATTATTTCGATAATTTTCTTTTTTTATAGATACTCGTGGCTTTGCGGCATCTTCACTTTAAAAATATCGTTCACTGTGACCTCAAACCGGAAAACGTGTTGCTTGCCTCAGCCGACCCTTTCCCCCAGGCGAGTATGAAGGCCTGTCCCCGCAGAAAGCCAGCTACAGTGACGCCGACTCCCAGCAGGCAGTGTTCTGTCACCTTTTCCCTCAAAGCCTTTATTTGTTTCAAATTTCACACGTTCATTCCCATCCATATTGTTGGGACAGCAGCTTTTGTGTCCTGGCTTCTCAGCTCAGCCTGCTTAGAACACACAGCGAGCCTTCTCGTTCAGCTCTTCTAGCTTCTGCTGTGTGCAGATCCTAGAGAAGGGGCGGCCGGAGGGCGAGAACACTTCACAGGCCCAGGGTGCCGCCAGCTCTCCGGGGCTGGGCAGACATGAGAGTTTAGTGCTGTTCTCAGGGACAAGTGCAAAAGTGTTGTCGTCTTCTCAACTCAGAGGACGGAAAACTCCTGGATCTCTCCCCAGGGAGTCTTGTTTATGATGTGACCTGACCAAGGTGCTGTCCTGCCTGGCCTCCTTCAGGACACCTTCAGGTCCTGCCTGGTCCCTGACACCTTCAGGGTGCCCATGAAGAGCTAATTATGAGATTATTATGGATGGCATGACAGTCTCATGCTCATCCTTAAACCTTTATCCTATAAACCTTTTAAGTCCATCACATCCCTAATTGGCAGGATGTTTTCCTGCCAAAAAAATCAATATTACCTACTTCCAAATATACATACTTTCACATATATCTTTTGGTTTTAAGGTGTGTGGGAGGAAGGAAGATGTTTAGATGGTATTTTTATGAATGAAAGCATACTTTTGTGTCAGTACATAAACCACTATCTTCAAGTATATAAAATGGAAAAGAGCTGTGACTTCTACCGTGAGGAGTCTACAGTATACAGAAGGTATCACAGTTGTCTTTGGCAGAGGAGCACTAAGACACTCCCATCTTGTGACCTTACCATTTCTGCAACCCATTGTTATCTGCAGGTGAAACTGTGTGATTTTGGTTTTGCCCGCATCATTGGAGAGAAGTCTTTCCGGAGATCGGTCGTGGGCACCCCTGCTTACCTGGCTCCTGAGGTTCTGAGGAACAAGGGCTATAATCGCTCTCTAGACATGTGGTCTGTCGGGGTCATCATCTACGTGAGTCTGAGTGGCACGTTCCCGTTTAATGAGGATGAAGACATACACGACCAGATCCAGAACGCGGCTTTCATGTACCCACCGAACCCCTGGAAGGAGATCTCTCACGAAGGTAATAGTTTTCATTCAAAAATAGTAGTGGTTACATCCTTGTTATATTATTATTTCAGTTGTTAATTATTAAGTGTATAAGTGCTCATCGTGGATTGCCCATTGGAATCGAGAAACAAATTGATCGAGGTGGACTGCGAAGAACAAGGACATAGGGACCAGAAACACCTCCTGGTGACGTTGTGCGTGTATTGTAGAGACCTTGAGAAATGCACATTAAGAGGTAAATGAAACAGAGAGAAAGTGTTAATATTTTGGTATATTTCCTTCGAATATATGAATATTTATAAATTGGTGTAGTGATAACACCTAATCTTTACCAAGAGTAATCTTGGTATACAGCTGAGAGTACACACCTATTTCTTTATTAAATACTTTTAGTCTATTATGTACACAAGGACTTTATTAATACTGATATTTGAATAATCACATTACATATATTAATATGCCAGGTTCTTTGTGTACTGACTTCCTTTGCGTGACATTAGAGCACGTATGATCTTTTCTTTAGCCATTTCCCAGGTATTTGTTCAGTATGAGATCATCTTTATGTATAATTTCTTATGTGCATCTCTGATGATTTTTTGGGATAGATTACCCTGGCGTTGTTACATTATTTAAATTCTTCTAAATAAATGTTTCCTTCTTAAAGGAAGAGAGAGAGATTTAAAAGAATTGGTGGGGAGAGTCAGGGCAGAAAAACGGCTCCCTGAGTTGAGTGCCTCGGGGAGGAGCTCCTGGTGAAAGTGCTGTGGAATTTGATTCTCGTGAAAACCATAGACAGGTCTCAGCATTGTACCCACGTTTCAGATGAGGACACTGAGGCCAAAGAAGACACAGCCAGTGAGCGGGAGACCCAGAATTTACACCCAGTTTGCCCATAACTTTTAAACCGCTAGTCCTGCTGGTTTTTTAGTTTTCAGGCAACATCTACTTCTAAGTTCACTCAGGATTTTTACCACTTAAAAAGCAAAAATAAATTAATAGATAACATCTATTCGATAACTGTTACTGCATGTGGTTGTGTAGAAATCAGAAAACAGCATAATTAAGTTCTTAAATGTCTGTGAGTGTTAAATGCCAAGAGCCATCCATCATCAGGGCTTGAATTACTGTTAGCAACAACTTTTTTTAATATCCTTAATTAGTTATGAATCATAGTTACATGGGAGTGTCCTAAAGGGATCTGTGATCTACAAAAGTACTGTCATGTAGCCAAAAGACTAATAAAATATTTAGGATAATTTAATGGAGGCAAAAGCGTAATTTTTTCTTTTAGGAGGCAGAAAAGAGGGAATTAGCAAACCACCTTGTGACCAGTACCCATGCTGGGCAACATTTTTCTAAACATGGTTACCATCGTATTGGATGGAGGCAGGCCAGAAGGCCTGTAAAGAACAGTGTTCTTACCAAAGTGCAAATCAGGAACATCTCTGAGGCCATTTTCCTGTTACACAGCAGTAGAATGTTAGGAAAGTAGCTTCATGCTTTAAATGTTTTTTCTCGAAATAGTGCAGTATTTTTTTAAGTGGAACAGATGGTGCCCTCTGGTGTTATGGAAATCTGTTGGCCTTGTATGCAGATATAAACTCTTTGGGCCAGAGATGAATAGCTGTAGACTATGAATGTTTAGTTACCATTGGAAGTAGAGACCAGAAACATAGGTATCAATAGCTTAAGACACTCTTGTTGGAAAAATCAGGAAATGCACACAGTATTACATACATCATAAGTAGCATTAAAGGAGAGGACAAAACATAAAATGTCTTTCAAAGAACTTGAAAGCTTGTTGGAGAGATGAATTATATAAATTTGGGAAATGTTATTTATTTTCTTGAATTGTTAGCTAGGTATAAAATTGGGGTCCCCAAGGTCAGAGGCAAAAAATCACTGTGGGCTTGACTAATTAGAGTCACATACTCAGGGGAGGTGGAACTTAGGTCTGTCACTAAAGAGTTTAAAGGAAGAAAGGTAGCAAGCATTTCAGAAAGAAGGGATTATATCATGTAACTCAAGAGGCATTATTCCTGACTAGGAAGCACATGTTTAATTTGCCTATAAAAACATCTGAGTGCTAAAAATTCCTGCCCCTCAGAGTGATGTGCAGACCGGCTCAGGCAGCAGCCCTCACTTTTCCAAACGATTCAGGCATCAGTTTGGAATTAACTGGCCTCTCTTCCCAGCATTTTCCTGTAGTTCTTTCTTGCCTTTGATGCATAGGAGTTGTGCCGTTTGCTAACCAAGGCTCTGAATGGTAACATGAGTTACCTAACTGCTAGTGTACGAAGAGGACTTGGACTTGGACAGAAAGAAAGGTTGGTTAAATTACGTTGTGCCAGGTGAGGAGGTACAGGCCCAGATTCTGTCCCACTACCTTGTTGAGAACAAATAATTTCCTGATTAGAAATTGTAACAGGCTGCTGGCACCAAGTGATACTCAGCTCCTGGGATCTAATAAATACACAAGCCAACTAGTGTCTGGCAAAGGGTGGTCTCAACTGATATTAGTAAAATTTGAATCTCAGGATCCTTTAAACGACACCAGAACCACTAAGAATCCAGATACTTGGAAATAAAAATTCAGGCAGGCACCTCAGCCAGAAGTAAAGATCACCTGTCAAGCCTTTTGAGGTGTAGTCCTATCTGCTATTCTAAGTAGCCATCACTGACCTTTCCTGGGCTTCAGTTCCTCATCTGTAAAGCGCGGTAATGATTGCTGCCTATGTAATGAGGTGATAATCAAGACTGAATGAGGTAAGGATGTGAGAGGCATCTATAATGGCAGGTGTGGGGAGAGCCAGGGATTGGATTTAGGAAGAGAACAGCGGAACACTAAGTTAAGTATTGCCCTGGCGGGTAACCAAGAATTGATTGTATGATTTTAGAAAATATATGCACATTGAAGATTCCCAAGTGTTCTTCAGACATGTCTTTAATTGTATTTTTTTTCTTGGCATTAAAAGGCAAAAGGAAAAAAGTTATAGGGTCTCTGTAGCGTACACAGATGTGTCAGAATGAAACATTCCCTTTAGCGTGCATCTTTTTCTGTTGGTGTAGACATGGACGTGATGCAGCATAGCTCTGTCTTTTGCTGGGGCTGTCTTCATGCTCCGGGATCTTTGCTCCAGTCCCCTTCAATGTAACTTGTTTTAGTCTGTGGTGGAAACCAGAAAGGTTAAGTCACTTGCCTCAGGTTACACAGCAGTACTTCAAATCATGTGTCTTTCCTCCTTGCACCATACACAGTGTCATGCACCAAAGGGTGCTTATTTCCTATGGCTTGATATGGAGGCTCTATAGAGAATGTTGTAAAGATGTTAATTATTTTTGCTATGATAATATCATAAGCCACATGCTGGCATTCTTAATTGACCACTGAATTAATCAGGACTCTGCCAATCATAGAAACCTACCTCTGACTAAGTTGGGCAGAAGGTAATGTGACTCGCACATCTGGGAAATCTAAAAGGTGAACGTCATTTACTTGGATCTTGCCGAGTAAGAGGTGGAGAAAGTGTCTGTCTGTCTGTCCATTCTGCCTTACATTATGATGGCTTCCTTCACATCTGGACTCTTCGTGTGATTCAAAATGATTCACCCTCGGCTCCAGGCTTGCATGCTACTCACTGTACATGATCTCAGGATGGAAGAGTAATTCTCTCAGTAGCCATAGAGCTTCTGACACGGGCACTGACTGGCTGTGCTTCAATCCCACAGTACCCGAGGGGCAATCACACCGTCAGCACGGGAGTCTGGCCCGCTGGCCATATGGGCGATGCAGGGTGCCTCCGAGTTACAGAGAGAACGTTCCTGCAGGGAAAAGATACTAGGCTAGAAACAAACCCCAAAGCATTCGTTAACAGCGCCCATTATAAAAGTTGGTTTTTTGGTATGGTTTGGTTTGGTTTTGCACACGCACTCACGTGCATGTGTGTGTGTGTGAATCAAGGTATGATTTCAAAAGAGAAAATTCGAGGAAAACTTAATTTAGCATATGTTATAGGTAAAACAAAGATTGTAAAATGAAATGTTGAGAAAAGTAATAATTGCTAATACTTCTACAACATCTGCACTGTAAGGAAGCTCTACTTTAAACACTATATCTATGAACTCATTTAATTGCCCCCAGCCTTTGAGAAGATACTATTACTATTTCCATATTAAAGGCAAGGCAGTGCAGGGAGCGGTGGTTAAGTGGCTTGCCCAGCGTGGGACCCAGGTACAGGTACTGTCAGCCAGCTCCGGGGTAGATGCTGTTACCCCCTGCTTTTACATTCTCATCCTTATCTCCCTCATAGATTTTACCATGCCGTCATATTAAATTTTTAATATGCTTTTATATGCTTTAGAGCTAGAGTGGCCACACAATTTTGAATAATGTCTAGAAATATAGGGAAACAGCCCTGACTGGTGTAGCTCAGTGGGTTGAGCACTGGTTGTGCAAACCGAGGGGTCGCCAGTTCTATTCCTCGTCAGAACACATGCCTGGGTTGCAGGCAAGTTCCCAGTTGGGACGTGCAAGAGGCAACAAATCCATGTTTCTCTTACACATCAGTGTTGTTTCTCTACCTCTCTTCCTTTCTCCCATTCCCTCTCTGTAAAAAGAAATAATAAAATATTTAAAAAATTAAAATTAAAATGTAGGGAAACAGGATTACGTTGTGGAAGACCTGAGTTGAGAGCTCTTGTACTTGAGTCCTCAGGACCTCTCTCAAGTACGTATTCTCTCAGATCTGAGTTTTTTTGTCTGAAATATGATGATACGAATTCCTAGTTCACCAGGTTATTTTGTTAAATGAAATTGCAATGGAAAGTGCTCAAAACAGTGATTGGCATTACTGTAACAGTTAAATCTATTGCACACTTTCTATTCCCCAATTATTTTACATGATCTGTATGTACATCTGTTTGCATATTCATATTTAGTTATACACACACATAACTACAATTATATAAAGTTATATAACTGAACACATATTTAATCACAGTTATACATGTAGT